TTCCATTCATTTATCTTATAGCTGTGTCTACAGCGCAGCTCAGTCCCCCGGTCCAGCGCTACAGCAACAACCTCTGTCGTCGATAACCGCCCCGTGTTCACACAACGTTTATGGTTTATCGCCTCTTTCCCCCCCAACCCCTGCTTATTACTACTAAGTGAATTGTACGGAACGAAATCGAATAAAAGGGAATTCCTCTCCCCTGGACTTTAATTGTTTAAGTTTGAACTCTGATGCCCCACTTATCTCAGGCTTTTGGTAATTTGAGTTCGCTCATAAGAAAAACTCATTGCTGTAAAGATAAAGCACTGCACAGTGTGAGTGTGTGTAATTGCTGGAAGTGCATTTTTGTCCATTGGTTACAGGCAGACAGTCTTTAAGAGCAACACAGTAGAAATGTGGTGTTTTGCCAGAGGTGGCCAAAGTACACACTTTCTTTACTCAAGTTGAAGTAAATATACTCAAGTAAAAGTACTGATTCAACATATTTACTCAAGAAAAAGTATAAAAGCACAGGCTCTGAAACAATGTATAAAATCAAAATTGATATACCACAATGAATCGTCTTTTCTGTGTTATTGTCCGATCGATGTAGGTTGAGATCTGTGTTGATGTAGGGAAGGCAGCATTAAAATGTACAGAGTAGAAAGTAAATATATTTAAATAAATTGTAGTGAGCAAAAGTAAAAAGTCGTGAGAAAAATACTCAAGTGAAGCACAGATACATGCTTACAGTATTTGTATTAGTTCCCACCTCTGTGTTTTACATGTTATCCCAGAACGCCTCGGTATTCTGGCAGTAAATAAGGCACCAGCTGTACCTGGAAGATCTCTGCAGCTTGACCTTTTGTGAGGCGGTGGAGAGGCTGGTTACAGGCTGCGGGTGTGACACGAGTGGTGTAATGATGGTCATGTTGTGGGTCCGGGGCCTCACCAGTGTTTTCACATCAGGAGCCAATTTAAAGGTCCTTTGTTTTGCTTTCCAGCTCCGAGGGCAAACCACATGGCTGCAAAGTTCATGTCAATACAGCTCATCGTTCACGTTTAAGACACAGGACATAAACATATAGGAGTTCAAATGGGGAGCATGGTTTAACACATTAAACAAGGCATGATTGTCCAAAAGTCATTTAATAGCTGCTCTTTTCTGTACAAATTTGCAGTATTAAAAAAATTGGAATCACCTTTTTTGTGATTCAGGTCCCTAGCGACCACCTCTGCTACAATTAATTTAAAACTATTTAATAAATTCCATTAATAATTACTTTTTTGCGCCAGTAATGGAAACATATCCTTTCGGATTACAGAGAAGCACAGGCAGAGCCCAATTGGATATCATGGCTCCTCTTCCTATGAAAGAGAGCGTCTATTCACGGCGTGTGGATGTTTATGCCACTGCCATCGTCGAGTAAATGCTCATTAATTTTATCCCTTCGTGGAAAAATCATTTCCAGGAGAGGCAATTCAGCCTCCTGTTCCTTTCAATTCACCGCTCACGTCAATCAAGCTCTCCTGCAGCTTCCTGCAGAATGGAGGTGTTATATTCCTGCAATTATCATGTCATATACTCGAAAATGTAAATGAACGTGTGTGTAAAATTAAATTTATGGGTTGTCAGTGAAGAATAAGAACCAGGAGAGCAATTACTTATCTGCTTTCATCTCGGAGCCTCTGATACGTCAAGCAGAAAAGCATGCAGTTAAATGCTGGAATTAGCATTATGCTGCACTTCACAATGGACGTGGGCCAGTGCCTTTTCTCCCCTCTCCCTTTCTTCCTCGTGCCTCTTTCCCCCCCTTCCTTTTTTTGTTTGGAGCACTCATGAAATGAAGATTATTATCAGCCATTATGTCTCTAAAAAGCCAATCAAAGTGCAAGAGAAACTTCCCAATTCCATTACTTAGTTGTCTGCTGTCTACAAATAATAATGATTTATAAACAGATAAAGAAATAAAGGTGCATCTTATCTTCTATCTTTTTGTTCTGCTGCTCTTTGTTTGTTTTGTTTTTGCTCTTGTTTGGTTTTATTTGTTACATTCGCCAAGGAGGTTGTGTTTTCACTCGCTTCTGTTATTTTGTTTTTTGGCAAGATTACATGAAAACGATGCGGTATGACTCCAGTAAGATGGTCTTTAACGTTTAACTTTACGAGATAGAGCGTCAACATTTTACTTTCTTTCTCAGAGAGTAATTCATGGATCTTGATAAAAAAAACTGGATTGCATATATATTTGATTCCACTGTATTTATGGTTGCACATATATTTGCATTTTACCCCTACACGTCTACTCCTGCATTCCTTTTGTAAACCAAAACATCTTTGAGATCCAGCATCCAATTAATGGTCTTAATGAGCGCATCTCTCATGTTGTTTCTCAGCTGCACTCGTCCCATTGTCACAGCATCCAACACAAAACCAGGAGTGACTGCAGGGGTAATTACTTACCTAGCGAATGTAGCTTCAAGGGTTAATAACATTGAAGGTGTAAGCACAGCATTTGCATAATTACACACAGACTGTTTAATTTGCAACTTTTGACGGCTTTTGTTCAGCCACCGCGCTTATTGTTAATGCATTTCTCTTTCCCTGCGCTCGAGTCCGGAGAAGAAAAGAGATGTACCACAACATCCTCCTCCACCTCAGATGGAGTCCCCTCTCTCTCTTTCTCTCTCTAAGACCCTAATGAACAATGGAGGCAGGATTTGTTTGAATATGAATATGAATGTGCGGCGGGGCCGGCTGGAAGTTGACCTTCAGCTGTGATTTTCAGTTCATCAGGATTAGTCAAGGCGGGCGATCAGGAGCCACTAATGCATAATGACTTCTAAAATGAAAAATGTGTAGTGACCATGCAAATGTCTCAGCTAATCAAAGAGGGGGGGAAACCTGGGGTGGGGGTGGGCGTTGAGGTGGAGGAGAGCTAAACAAGGACGTGTCAAGGCCTGACAGAGAGAGGGAGAGAAGGAGGGAGAGAAGGAGGGAGGGCGGAGAGACAAGCATGGAAAGTAATCAAGGCAGCTTGATTAGCTGGCGATGAGGACAGGGATGTCTTATTGGCCCCTTGACACACCATATAGGCTAGTTACTGTCATGGCAGCTCCATGCCAAACACCGCAGCAATTAGTGTCAGCGTAGGTGTTACTACATGTTGACATTTTAATTGTGTTACAGTTGCATAAAGCTAAAGTCTGTCAAAAAAATTTGTTGACAAGATGGAGGAATCCGAACCCCTGAAAGTCTTAAATTAGTGTATTGTTGTGCTGGAAACAACGTTTTTGCATCAAAGCCGATGATGTAACATTTTAAAGGTCATCTAGCAGAAATCTATGATAGAAATGTTCATATCCCATGAAGCGTTCGTCATATCAACTTTACATTTCATATGTGTATTGTTAAGGGCTCACAGAAGTAAATTGTTGAATTTGGTGCGATTTGGAGACGGGATATTAACATATTTATAAAATCTGAATAAATAGGCCCGCTGTAGCAGTCGGTGGGGGCAGCACAGTGTGTCTTCAGCCTGCAGACTGAGTTGAGCATGTCTTTTTATATATCCTCTGATAAACTACAGCCGTTGGGGTCAAACCTCAATTATTTTGATTTGATTCTTTTTATTTAACCATATCAGACACAGGCATTCACTACTGCTGATCTCTGTCACGGCAGCAACATTCTTAGGGTCACTTCCTCTTGAGCAGTTTGTCTACAAAGTGAAAGCACAATGGGTTTTTTTGGTTTAATTTTCATATTGAGAAAAATTACTGAGGTTTTATTTTGAAAAGTTGTGAAATTGGGTCTGACGATTGTGTCGATTGCTCTGAAATAGCCGACATGAAATGTATGACCAAATAACACCACTATGCAGATAAACCAAGTAGCATGATCACAAAGTTTCCAACTTCACTTTTCACAATATCCTCTTTATGAAAAGCAAAGCTCTGTACACAATGTCCAGCAGGATGTTTGAGGAAGACAAGTTTAGAATAATTCTGCTGTAGCTCTGATCAACATACAAACAGGCACTTTGAGTCTAGACAATGTGTGTAACTCACAAGTAAACACAAATCAAAAGTATTGTCAAAAGTTGCTCCATTTTTAAGCAGCCACAATGAGCAGAAAGTGTGTTATTTGACTAAAGCCCACTCTCCCCTGTTAAAAATGTGCGCTCGTAACCAAAGACGCATCTTTCTCCATTGATCTGATGCCTCAGAAGCTGCTTTCGCTGCCGCCTTAGAACAGTTTGGCGGAAGTATAGGATCGTGTGTACTGTTTTGTTTTGCAGTTCTTCTACCGCAGCTTGACAGCTCATATTTTTAATGATTATCACTGAAGAACGACGCTTTTTTTTTCCAGCTGAGAGGAAGAACCAAGTGTGCTTTGGATGTTTTCTGTCAGAACGTGAATCTTGACAAACTTCAGAGGGCATTGAATAAAAATAAAAAATAAAATCTTAGGGCGAGACTCTAACCTAAGAGCCATGACCCAGCTGATTGTCCCCCTTCAGTGTGTCAACTTCAACAGTGTGCTTTTAAATCAACTTTAGCATTTTCCTTCTGTTTTTATTTTTTTACAACAGCAGCACTGATAGGCGCGCTAAAGTGGGGAAGTTCAAGGGTCCTGCTAATTAAGGTCTATGTCTATTTAAATCCCTCACTTCTCCCAGCGGGGTGCAGGCAGGAAAATAAGGATGTGCAACACAAAGGCACAGCACCCATCTGTCCTTCAGCATCTCCTCTAGGCTGCCAGGCATCACAGCCATGGGAGGCCTGCTCTCCCTACTTCTCAAGTCACCAATTACCACACTCCCAGTAGAACCACGCCACTTGGCCTGACGCACGTCTCGGATGCTCTATTTTTCTCCTCCTTCCGTTTTTTACTCCCTCCATCTCTCTCTATTTCACTCCTATGCTCTCATTGTTTACTCATCCCTCCTGTGCTTTCTCAAATTTTATATTTCGTCCCTGATTCCACCCTTCGCCCTCTCGTCTGCCCCGTCCAGGTTCCCGTGTCGGTGGCCATGATGAGTCCCCAGGTGATCACGCCGCAACAGATGCAGCAGATCCTCCAGCAGCAGGTGCTTTCCCCGCAACAGCTCCAGGCCCTGCTCCAGCAGCAGCAGGCAGTTATGCTACAGCAGGTACGCGTGCATGCCCTTACACACTCCCACCTACATGTCTTGCACTGTCAACAGAAAACGACAAATGCATAGGGATGTAGAATCACAAACATATACACAACCAAATTCATCGTAATCTACAAATTTCCACATCTATTCCTCCAACACACAATCTCATTTTGCAATCTTGTTGTGTGCAAACAGACACAACAACACACACATATGCGCCCACACTTCCCTGACTCACTGCTGTGCTCATGTATCAGCAGCCACCAGTCGCTCATGCCAACTCACCACAGCCCGGTGTCCTTGACATGCTTACCAAGAGGAATCTGAAATTGACATACTTGTTCGTGTCACCTCTAATTAACTCTCTCCAGTGTGTCGCTGGTTCAATTCCCTGACAAGCATCCATCAGGGAGCCGGAGAGAGAGCATGGCACAGTTGGGCTTGCAAACTGGAAGCTGAGTGATGGGTGACGGATGATGTAATATTTGGAATCAGCTTTGAGAAAAGCACACACTCGGCACAGACTCATGTCAAGAGTTGAAACACATTTCTCATTCATAGATTTGATTAAGGGGAAGAGAATTGTTTAATTAAGGACGTCAGTCATCCTGATTATTCCCCTTCATTAAGAGTGCTCACACTCTAGATTTGGTTTGAGTACAATGGCGTGCCTTTGTGCGACTTTTACCAAAACTTCAAGGCACTTCAGATTTTACACTTGAGAGTTGAACTGTGGTCACTATCCTTTTGTGTGAAATTTGCTCATATGGTACAATTGACAGGGAATTTGGGAATCACAGGATCAAAATTTTCCCTTGTGTCGATTAACTGATTGGAGCAATTTTCACAAAATAGTGTTCCTGGGACTCTAATTACTTTTTTTAACATAAGGGTCTGTTAAATATTGTGGATATTTTTACAGCACTTAGCTAAGAACCGGACTGTGCCTTCCAGTCACCTGCTTCATGCGTCTCCTCTAGGCCAGACAGCCATATGAAATTTAACATCTTTTTTTTAGTAACTGTTACAACCTGTATGTTAAACGAATCAGTTCAACTCAGCGAACCTGTTCCTGAGAGGGTTTACATGGTTTGTTTCAACCACTAAGAAGGAAGCGAAGACCACTCTGGCTGCCAAAATATGTAGTTAATATGATGAATTGTTGCCCCTCGTGCAGAACTGTGCGACTATTAAAAGTCCATATGGAAAAGAGTGTGAAAGGTGGCAAGGATGCCAAAAGCAGCTGAAAACCTTATATCTTATAATGTGCAACAGTTTTCTGCATAACCAACATGTGGAGCAACAGCTGGAGATGAATTAGTGGAGAAAATGTTTACTTAATAATACTTTGAGTAGTTCCAGTCATAGCCTCTAAATATATTTTATTTGTATGGTTATTTATTGTTATCATGTTTATAAATGTGCATTGTCTGAATCTTATTTTCTAACTCTCTCTGTGCATTAATGTGTCTGCACAGCAACACCTGCAGGAGTTTTATAAGAAACAACAGGAGCAGCTTCATCTGCAGCTTCTGCAGCAGCAACATCCTGGCAAACAGGTTAAAGAGGTGGGTGCAGCACTTCCACACATTTTCACCACACAAAAAAATGATGCCAATGACTCAAAGGAGACGGAACAAGTTGGACTACATGCGTAGAGACACAGGAATGACTGTAAATGTAGGGTAAGAAGAAAGTACAGCTGCTTTGAGACATGCACTGAACTCCGATAATCTCCTGACATTCTTTGGTGGGGCTGTATGTGAGAACGCAAAGAGTAAGAGGCCTAGACTTTGGGAGAAAATTGGTTCCAATAATTAGAACATTCTCTGGAGTTCTGAAAACAGCCTAAATAACTGAGCTGGAGTATTTTCAATATTGTTTAGCAATTTAAAAGTAATTAAACTGGTTATTTTGTATTACTGATATTGGTCAGGTCACTTGTAAGTAGCCTCCTATCAAAACATCAGCTAGACTCTTGCAACTGTTCCTGGGAATGACTCCGTTAAAAGAGATTTTCTCAGTGACGACAAACACTCCCACACAATCACTGATTTATTGAAACCAGACCAGAGACAGAGGTTTCCTGGGTCCAACTCATTAATGAACTGTTTCTGTGGCCATGTGCGCACGCCGCTTAAGTTACAGCACACGACACTCATAAATCACGGTGACAGGCAGACGGTCGACAGACACGGCTCTGTCCCATCCTCTCTGGCTATCAGAGGAGTGGAGCCCGAGCATGACAACCCAAGCCACGTCTGTGTAACTGAGCTGAACCCTGAGAGCTGGTCTGGAGATGCATTCAGACGACGCTCTACATGCGGAAGCGGTTAAATTGATCAGAAAAAATAGAAGCTATCACATAAACACGCGCTCCTCTCTTTTCTCCTTTCTTTCCGCGTGTTGCACCTCCTCGAGCAGCCCATTACGCTGCCCCTCACAGGAAGCCCGCCGCTGACCTCCCGGCGGCTTTGTTTCTGTTTGGATTTGCGAATCGAGTTTTTCAGGGCCCCCGCCATCAAATATGGAATAGAAATTGCTCCCTTATTTCTCTCGAGGCAGGATGGAGGTGCGGGGAGGGCAAACCGCCTCCCTCCATCACTCCATTATGCAGCCTGTTTTCCAGTGAGTGCATCACAAGTTTTACTCCCCCCCCCCACTCACCACCTCCCACCTCCCCCAGGTCTACCGTGTTATAAACATACAGAAACATACGAGCATGACATGCTGTATGCACATACACTACACATGTATATGGAGGGGAGAGGAAAATTGAAAACCATCAAAGTTGCAGTTAAAACGTTGCCGATATGCATCCTTCGTTTTGACGTAAAGAAAAAGAATAAAACTGATTATTACCTCGTTTTTTGTTGGTGTTTTATAGTTCAACACAAGACATGACACTGTTTTATAGTTTGGAGCCAAAGCTTTTGTTTTATGCCCTGAAATCTACTCCCTCTCTGACTTATTTTTACTGCAGTGATGTTCCTTCGTTTTGTTGTTGTTTTTTTGTTGTTGTTTTGCACCAGGCTTATGCAATTGCCAGTCTGGCCCCAGCAATAAACAACTCTGTGAGGCAGGGAGAGAGAGAGAGAGAGAGACAGAGAAAACAGGGTGAAAGAGGGGAGGGAGATGCGATGTGCATGTGTGTATGCGTCTGTGTGTGTTTATATTTGCGTCTGTGCATTCACACGCCGTAAATCTCTTATTCCGCTCGCTCCCTCTGGCCACATAAGCTGTAACAGACCATCAGTGAAGGCAAGACAATTAACCATCAGCAGCGGAGGGTGTGTGTGTGTGTGTGTGTGTGTGTGTGTGTGTGGGATTGAGGATTATACCAGAAGCTTAGTATCATACACAATCACAAGCCACATACACTGAGAGGCTTGCAAGGTTTTTTTCAGTCTATCAACGCAAGCTTTGTGATTCTGTTATGTGTGCATGTGCTCTCTT